CCAGTGTAGGCGTGGCCAGCTCAACCTCACTCGTGTTGGGGGTGCCTGTGGTGGCCTGAGCTGCACGTAGCCCTCCTGAGCTTTGTTTTCGCTGGCAGAAGCAATGTGGGCTGGTCCTTCATTGTTTTCAGGGCAGTCTTGCGGGCCAGATCTAAGCATCCCATGGGCCAAATCCGGCCCCCAGGCCTTGAGTTTGACACCCCCGTTCTAGAACATAGCAGAGTAGGTGGAAACTATGCTGCTTCTCACTGTTTCTCTGGGAAAATAAAAGCAAAGCCCTTCTGAGTGATAGGTGAGGAGGAGTTGACAGAAGGATTCTTCAGGAATTTAGGATTGGTGTTCCATTAGAAGGATAAGGATCACCAAGATAACTTACCATAAATATTAACCAGCTACATAATTTTAAAATACCAGGTTAATATGGCTTGGAAACTATTCTATCACGTTGATTGACAGAAATCCACAAGTAACTATTGAAAGGCTCTTGATAGGGCTTCTAATATTTTGCAGCATGTTGGTTGTAAAGAATGGCCAATGTAGGCATCTAGTGAAGTATATGAAGTGCACAGTTTAGTATTTTGAATGAAAGAAATGTCATAATGCCTTGGTATTAGACCACATGTCTACTGGCTTCATTCTAGGTGCACCCTCCATCCTAGTGATCACCTGGCCTTGGAAGGCCCACTTTCCAGGGTGAAGTCCTTAAAGAAGTCTCTCCGTCAGTCTTTTCGTAGGATACGAAGGAGCAGAGTCTCAAATCAGAAGCGGCAAACTGCCCAGGTGAGGCAATGCGTTTTTGACTTCACATGTTTGTTAACATCCTTTTTTTAAAATGACAAGTCAGTGGTGCTGGATCTTGATATTGCCTTCCATGGCACTGACATGTTGCAAGAAGAAAAGAATGAGATTCAAATAAGTGCTGCTTTTGAGTGAAGACAACTTGGGCTCTTGGATTAGTAGAAAGGAAAAATTATTTCTTTCCCTTCTGCAATTTTAAACAAATGCATGCACTCCAAATCTAGTCCATTCATAAGCCTTCAATTTATTACAGCAGGAATCTGATACTCAGCTTATTACCTATTCATTTTATAAGTTTGTACTTTGTAGTTTATTATGATTTATAGACCGCCCTTTTCCCTGAGGGACTCAGGGCGGCTTACAATACATGGGAAGGGGGGTGCAA